CCAATTCGGAGTGGCGTAAACAGAGAGGTGGCCAACTCCTGACTTGGCAGAGGAGTATGAAGGAGATCACGAAACGCTTGGGTGCTGTCGGTTCTACTCGCCTTCCAGAGTGGGGACCGCGTGATCCTCACTGTGCCTGGTTGGAGACACTACAGGATATGGCTGCCAACCGATGTCAGTGGCGTTCTTGTTGACAGTTTCTATCCAGATTGCCTGAGTGAATTTCTGGAGGTGTAGGCACCTCGGAATGATTGCGGTAAGCTAGCACTTCGTCCCTTCCCAGTCCACCTTTACTCTTTTCTTCACAATAAGGCTTTCAAATAAGTCATGGTTGTACAGCAGTGAAGCATCAGTGTTGGGCATTGATGTCATGCTGTCGATGATGATGATGCCACGGAAGGTAGAGCGAGGACAGACTGAGACCTGACAGGAGTGATCAGATGTCAGATAAAGATTTGAAACAAGAACATTTTTTGGTTGTTGACCAGTTGCTTGTCGACCTGTTCGTTGGTATCCAACGAACTAACGAAACGGAATGGATATGGACAGTCATGCGACACAGGTTCCGAACGGATCAACGGAATTACGAGAAAGCTGTTCCTCAATTAGTTGACCACATTAAATTTATCAAGAGGGGAAAGTATTCGTTCAACAACGCAACAAAGACTTCTACCCAACAGATGAAGAAACGTATACCGGTGGACTGCTAAGCTCATATACCTGACCAGCAGATAAAGTATGAATAGACACAGTTATTCGACGCAGTGCCAGAATGAACTTTGAAGCCGCGGACCCATGGCTCAACTTCTGAGACATCTCTAGTTACACTTTGATATGGAAAACAAAAACTCACTTCATATCTGAGGTGTGCGGAAGTTCGGAAAAGTCGGGGTCGAGAAACTCTCTGGAACCCAGTCCGTTGGTTGCCATCTCGCTGGACCTTAACCTTATGGGGATAACATAACACAATAGTTACTGAAAGGAACCCGGTTTGTTGAAAAATGCGATAAGCCGCGGTTTGGTGATTATGAGCAAAAAAGGACAACGAAGTCGAACAATACTTCTCTACTCTCGTCGTTAGAGGGACGAAAAGCGGCAATTTGAACTGAATACAGACAGACAGAAACGTAAGGCGGGAAGATAGAATGATACAAGACACAATGTGAAGTACCCTAGAGCGATACTTCTTGAGTTCTCTGCGTAAACAAACGACGATGACCGGTAAACACTGCTGCTCTCGAGTTATATTCATTTTTGTTCTAATCTGGCTATTCAGTATGAAAATCGTACTTGTTCGTGGTGAACGGAGAGAAGGGAACTAACCGATTCGTGCACCTTTACTGTAGATGGACCAGTACATTTGGTTTGTGTATGCGAAGGCTTTAAACTCTTGAAAAACCAATGAGCGGAAAAACAACTGTTGACCAAACCATCAAAAATATGTACAAACCTCCGAGATATTAGTGTTTTGTAATCAACAGGCCAAAGTGAGGAAAATGTTTGTATAGTCGAGTTTCGGTTCCCCAATCTACGCCGAAAAGACGTTTCACCTTATCGGGAGCCACCCGGAATGTGCATGTAATGAAAATCCAGGGAGCTTCGAAACCGCGATTTCCCGGCTAGTATGAACATTCCGGTCACAGAGAGTCGATCAGCAGTGTGACGGACACGCGCTACGACAGGATGGAGTGCTATCCATCCTCCACTAACAGAAGTCACATCACGTAGCCACGTACTGACCTGCTTCTCGAGTGACACGGTTATCTGGATTCTGTGAGTGAAGGATACGTAGCCCCACATCCTGTCGGAGTACGAGTTAACCGCAATGCTGGTTAGTCCCCGGTGGCTGAACGGCCAAGTGTTCACGCTACTGGTGAGGATAATTCGAGTCCGAAAGTATTTAGTCTCCTTGAAGGAATACCACTCATAAGGTTGCTGAAAACTCTTCGAAAGCGCACGATCGCTTTTGTCCCTCTTCGGGTTTATCAAATAAGCAACCTTGTGAGTAGTGTTCCTTCAAGGAGATACAGCACGATATCTCGAAGACCATAGCAACTGAAACTCGAGGCGGCAGCACGTTCAGTTGAGACTATTACAACCAAGAGGTTCAGTCGGGATTCAGTCGTCTCCCGTCAAGACCAAATTGGTGTGCGAGTTTCTGGAAATGAGTACTACTGAAGATTCGCAATAAGGACGAAACAGATGTAAAGTGTCTTTCGGTTCTTCACCGTAGATAGGTTTTCTTAACATGCTACCAACGGGTGGCTTGTGTTAGGTGCTCTTACTTGCGTTACAGACGCACGAAGGCTGCATTGTGGCTTGAGGGTGTGGAGGCACGTACGTCTGATTTAGAAGAGCCAACCAGACTTAACGTCAAGCTAGTGAGGTCAGAGAAATGTCTAGGGAACGTGATTAAAAAATGGTTCAATAATAAAACTGACGTAGATGACAGTACTAAAACCAAAGTACACACAGAAAGGAATGTTTCTAAATATCACACTCGAGCAATGTTCCAGTCAAACCGTAGTTTTTTTTTGAACTCATAAAAAGTCATGTGCCAACAGGCACCAATATCTCCAAGATTCACTGGTATGCGGGTACTGCATGCGGATAACTGCGACCAAAACTGTCTGTCCTAAAACTGATGACATACGTTGGAAACCTTAAGGAATTCGGATGGTTCCTTTTACACTAAAAAAAGATCGAAGGTAAGAAAAGATATCACCAATGTTTTCTGACCAGATATTGGCACGCGAAAGAAGGATACTTGAAGACGCAATCACACTTCGGCCTACCCGATGCAACAGATTCTTACGCACAACAAACAGATATAGATTAAGGGTAGATAACTGCTGGTGCAAAACTATTTGGTTTTCCTTATAGTACGCCGCGGGGGTCCTAGTGAGCACGATATAGTACCGGTAAACAGATGCCTCTATATGGTCCAAAATGGATGCTGGTTCAGTAAAAATTGAAAAAAAATGACTATCCTCTTCATCTTGGTTTACAATCGAACCCCCGGTTAGGAATGAACACTTGACAGGATGTAGTTTTCGTGCTCAACACATGATTCTTGATGAGTGATAGGTTTTAATGAACAAGCTGCGAACCGAGTTTATCAGAACATAGGATGTGAAACCAGTGAACGGACGCCGCGTCGTCGGCGCTCGGTTACTCTGTACCTGAACCCTCAAACGTGTTGGGGTAAACATCAGTCCATCAGACTGCAGTTCACAAATTTTGATGATGTGAATGAGTAAGGGAGCGCTAGGAAGATGGAAGTGAAATTGTAGGAGTGGGGAGTTCAGTGGATTTCGATTTGCCTGGGCTTCGTACTTTAGGTGCATACCATTTCACTGATAACAGCGCGTTGCAAGGCGCCAACTCAACGGTCTCCTCACGATTTCCAGATCGACGTGAAGCGAGCAGTTCAGAAGTCCAGAGGGGAGGAACCGACGGAAGATATTTCGCAAAGGTTCCTGCAGACATATCGAGCGACGCCAAACCCCAACTAGCCTGATGGTGTGTCACCAACAGAAGCACTGCTCCGACGTAAGCTTTGAACAGCGCACCCGGTCACACAAAAGATAATTGAATCACCGCATCAGAAGAACGGAGAACCACTTCAACCGGCAGCATGACGCAACCGCCATTTACTCCACATACTCTGCCGGTGCTGTATTTTGGTCCCATGGTTGTTTGGACCTCAAGAATGTGACCAAGTGTAATCACAGCTTCTTCATTTTCGTCTAAGGAAGCTTCTGAACCACGGACTCAACACAAGAAATTAGCTACTCTGCTGTTTTTTTGCATGTGAAATACAACGCTTTCTCTAACAGGCAAATTTATTCACACTTCACGGTCCACCTGATAAATTTACTAAGCTACAATGACCAGCAGATAGGTTACTCTTTCCTACTTACTTATCAGGTCAAATGGTCATGGGAAACAACTTTTCTAACTTAACTATGTGTTTGTATTTGAGCTGTTGACCTTGAAGTGAGTGTAACACCGCCGCTTTGATTTCCAGTGATCAGAAAGCAGCCAGTGAGAGTGCAGACTGTGGTTGAGACAACACGCACGGATGGTTAAGTGACCCCTATGCTTGGGTAATGACTTAGCCTCTGGGAGAGCCATTCCAGCAGAGGCGAGAGAGGTATCCGACGCCATAACTTGAGAATCATTTTGTGCTTCAAGTATCTTATGTTGAACAGCCAAGTTCTATCGTCAAGTGCACTAGTGCCCCTTAGGTGCTCCATTTGACTTGACTTCGTAAACATGGTCTCGTGCAGTTGATGCATTGAGCCATGTTCCTAGGCGAAAATAGGAGAGCACTCCTAACACACGCCAAGCATGGACAACGGTCCACAGTTCTACTTTTGTTTGAATACGACTAGCAAAACTGCCGGAACAGGTGCAACGGAAGTGTAACGTTTGAAAACTGACGTCACATGGTGACCAATCTACTGACTGACCATGCTCGGTTGACTTGGCACACAAAGATATCCCCCTTAAGGCACGTACATGCGTGTCTAAATGGGGGTACGCGCAGCATAGCAGTACCGGTGGAATCATCGCTGACAACTCCATTTGAACATGCAGGGACGAAATGTTAAGTGGCGTGCCGTGTGCGCCTGTTTGTTTCAATCAACCACAGGCCTACACATATGGAACAGTCCAAGCAAAGACGCGGGAAGAAAGTGCTTACAACAAGCAACATCGAAAAGTTGCGCCCAAAGACCGTAACACAGCGAGAAGCCCTCAAAGACAGCAGTTAGAGTAAACCGCTCCAAATGAACTAGATTGCGTAGACCACCATGCGATGCGTGAAAACTTCGGTCACTTGCCAAGGTTCTGAACATTTAGCTAATTTTTCAAGAGCGATTCCGCAGATTTATTGGAACACCCACTAACCACAATCTTACATCGCACGCTACAGGTGCTTTCGAGCTCTTCTGCAAAACTAGTGATCATGTGAACTTCAGAAAACGGAGCTGCCTCAGCAATGTAAGCACAGATCGAGCACGGCCTGAACAAGCAACGAAAGGATTGCTAAGTTTAGACTTCAGGCTTACAAATTTATTGGATTTACCAAGTTACATAACTAATATTTGTCTTCCAGTACATGTGAGATATGTAAAGCATACCATCGTCATACGAAACCTTCGCCGTTCATCGCTTTGAGGCTCATGCAAAGGGTTTGCCTTTTGTGCTCTCAAAATACCTGGCTCAAATCTGGATTATTCCGCCACAGAGATCACATGATTCAGTGCACATCAGCACAGAATGCAGGACCAATGTGTTCAATTTTATCTACAACCAGCACAGCATCGATTCGGCAAAGAAACATTCATGATTTCCCCATGCTTTCTGAAACATTCGGTTTAATCCAAGCCTATTTTGTAAGATTTGTAGATGAGTGGGAGATGAGCTATGCGACACGGGAATTGTTGTCTGATATCATCAGGGAAAAATTAGGTAGACAGTGTCAAAGTCATTACAAGTTTTCCTAAGGGGCATTTAGTTCAGACCACTCCTCAAAAGGCCGTGTCTACATTGTTCAACTGGCGTCGGCTGCCACCTCATCTGCTTAGATGCGCTGATAAGATGATACAGAAACAGCTATACTGAAACAGGCGAACAAAGAGAGCGTCATAGTAGCCAGCTTCGAAAACAAAGCGATGGCTTTTCACGAGCAGCGTCGTCCAGTTGACAGAAGCGCAGTTTGTGGGACGTACTGACTGACAACTTGCGGATCCACTAGTGTCAAGAACCACGGGACGATGATGAAACTCAAGACACAAGCATCTTTCTGTTATCAAGGCTAGAAATCGAGCGACTTTTGGGTACATGTCTGTATCTAAACTGATACCAATCGCGCTACCAATCACAGGAGTCGGTTTGGGTATCAGAAAGCGGAAGAGGGTTTACACACCAACTGTCACGCAGGAGTGTACTGACGCACATGGTCCACGTAGCAGAACAAACTTGGGGTACGAATAAGGAACAGTAATGGAATAAAGAATGCGGTTAAATTTTTTTCGGAGCCTATCAGGACAACTGAAAATGTAAAGATGCACTGGATACTTGACATTCGTAGAGAAGAAGGTCCGTAAGTTCGTGAAAAAAGGATTCGCTATTCGAATCTACTTATCCGACACGTCCGCTTTAGGTGACACATCGACTATGAAGATGAAAGATGTGGTGTTTGCATTCGTCACCAGAAGAAATGTGAGCTATTAGTGAAGCTGCTACTGAAATGATTAAACAATCGTTCATCCGTAACACCCATTCGGTGTCTCGCTCGCATGCCACACAAAGGAAGCACGAGAGCTGGGATACTACCAGGTTGCCCAAGCTTAGACAAGGCAAGTCGAGAAGCAGAGGTCGGGTTCGAACCACAGACCTTCCGGTCAGTAAATTCGCGCTCTATCCACTGAGCCATCTCGCCCCATCAACAGCCCGTCACTGGTCTTACCTAGTTTGGGGCTGATCATCTAATACGTACGGTAAGAGAATTTCACTTAACCGTATAGTTTAGCTATAGTTTTCACTACTTTAGGAAGAGTGAGCTGGATTCTGAGGAAGTCTACTTGCACAATGTATTTTAGTCAGAAGTCGTGAAAGATGAACTTATTCGGATCACAAACCATCAGGTGTCCTGCGCACGGGAACGCCTCGATTTTAGCCTCGGAAGAAGCCAATACACTTGAAATCGCAGTTCATATGCCTTCATGACGATTCCACTCGTACACAAAGTTCCCACTAGTGCTGCTCTGAAATTTAAGGTTGAAATACACAAGCAGAGAGCAGTACCAGCAAGAAAGCAAGAAAGAGTACGAACGCACTGAAGATCATAGAGGCGTCATTTGAGAAAGTATACAAATGGTCAGGGTGGAGAAACCCTGCACTGACGATGTCACCTCGATTGGTGATGAAACGTTTGCAATCCAACTGCCAAGCTCGGCGAACAGACCAACAACCAATGCCACCATAAGACTGTATTCACTGAAAGATTCTTTCGAACACAACGGTCTAGAGCGACCAGGCCACCACAGTGGTTGATTTAAACAACTCCTCACATATTACTGATACGACGAACCTGGAGTCTAGGGTGAAAAATGTCTCCAAGTAAGCACCAGACCGACTTTCTTCACTGTTGGGGAAGGGACACGAAACCTATACTGGGGTAGAATTTAACTGTCGGAAAACCGTCCGTCTAAGTGTCCACCCTTTCAAGCGACCATCTCCACTATTCCTGGAGGTGATCACTGTGAAGTGCTTTTGCGATACCTCTTAGAATAAAAGACCCATAACCCGTTCAAAACTTTTGGGTTCCATATTGATGCCACCTGAGGAAAAGAGTCGGCGGAACACAGTAGACAAGAATCAGTACACGCTCTCTTCAAAGTCTAGATTGATGATATATCATGAGCAGAAGTAAGAAAGCCTTGGAAGTATTTCTACTAGCACAGTGGAGAATTCATTTGGAGTTGAAATAAAACCTTCTACCTATCCGGACAACCTGACACCGATTGTATAGGTGAGTGACTACAACATCAAATACGTCGCACCCCTGCACGGTCTATCCTCATTTTGGAAGGTTTGTACATCAACGATGCCTCAAAAACGGGTAGCTGTTGTATTAGGCAAACCACTGAAAAGGGCGCAGTTTGGTGGAATTCGGATAAACCAGCAGTAGTTGCTACCATGCTGCGGTCTGCTACATCAGAGAAATATATTCACGCAACTTACTCCTCTAGTAGGTCTCCAGGTCCGAAATCATTCTCGCTTATCACGAAGGGAGGTAGCCGGTGGGTTTTCGTAGCATGCCGTATTTTAATTGATGCCATCATCCCACAGGAAGTTGGGATACGAGTATTGAGTAGTGGGGATGAGGTGGAATTCGAAGTGGGTGATGAATTGGATTCCAACAGCGACGGGGAAGTACCAGGGGATTTTTTGGTCTCGGGAGTAGTTGAGGACTGATCGATTGCCGAAGGATCTTCTATGGAAATTTTATGTACACTGGTGCTGTCTGTGTGACCGGGAATGCGTGAATGGGTGTCATCGGTCATCGGCGGGCTACGTAAACTGATTCGCTTAGTGGGCATGATCAAGCGACGACCTCCACCAGTGCTCGAGTCCGAAATCCAGTTGGACTGTAATGCATCGAAAAGGGTTCGATTGGCCTGGGTCAAGTTGGAAAAACCTGAACTCAGATCGCCCAGTGCAATATTCTCGACATCTTCTACTAGATCTATTGTAGCCTCCTCTGCTGTATCGTTAGAAAGTGAGGATTCAGGCGATTGCGGATGGTGCCAGGTTGAACCGGCCAGCGGGAACTGTATTGTGAGAATAACGAAGTAGTTGAAGATCAGGAAAAAGGTCAAATTCGCAGGCGAACAAACAACTGAGAGATCTGTATTATGATTCACTCCAGCTCAAAACTCTCCCCAGTGACGCACACGGAGCTCTGAACAGATTCGAAACCGACGATGATCTCAGAAAAAACAGGTAACGAAAAGATGAAAGGATCAACTGTCTCAACGAGCCGCTGTATTTTATTGCCTAACCGCTGTAAGTGGTTAACGTCATTAAATCCAGATTTTTTCAGCAAGCGGAAAAACAAAGCATGAGGTTTTAATAAGATAATAGCCCGAAACAGCCATATCAGACGGTCAACGATCCATAATTTGCAACAGGTGAAAGAAAAGAAGAACGGAAAGGATTTTCACACCGCAAATCTACAGTGGTCCGCTAAATAGGTCAGAGGAAAACGTTTGTTCATTGAAAAAAGACGTTAATCCGGTCTGACCACAAAGTCTAGGCGGCTTGGGTTTCTAGGTCACCGAAGTGTGTGATGGCCTTGAAAATTGCGCCACTTGTTGCAGAATTCCTAATGAGATGACGCCAAGTGACGTTTGTGTGGTTCGCTCGAGGAAACGTGACGGTGAACTTTCGAGGACGAGGTAAAGGGCAGAGATTGGACTGTGCAGAAAATATCGGCAAGGCATGCACTGTGAATGAAAATTCTATGAAATGGCGCAAATTGTGAAAAAAAGTTGGAAATGAATTGAAAGCTCCAGGACTAATATAGTGGACAAGAGATTTGGACTACATCAAGCTGTCAATGGAAGATTGAGACTCAGTCGCTGCTAGCGCTCTGAGGGAAATGACGAAAGGTCTGTGGGAAAGCAGTTCGAATTCCCCTGGTCCAAGATACTTCACAATCGCTTTAAACAAGATGACCGCCTTAGTTCATACAAAGGTGTTCCACTAACGGTTCATACACCGAAAGGGTGTTCGAGCTAAATGATTATTATTTATTATGCTAGACGGACTTCGATAGGGGTATAGCATGTACTGACTGAGGTCACTCGTCTACTCGCCAGATATCCGTCTCGAAGAAAGCCATTCTATATATAGCAAGTGTTCCGAACCACGACCAGCTCAAGGATTGGTGCAGAAACATTGGATTCATTTTCGTTCTCATTTAATTAAAATCACGTCCCACTACATACGAACGATTAATAATTAAACGATAATCGTCCAGTTGTAGCATCATTTCGGTGTCAAGCTCCCATGCCACCCAAAGGAAACACGAGGGCTGGAATACTGCCAAATTGCCCGAGCCTAGACAGGAGAATTTGAGAGGCAGGGGCTGGAGGCAGGGGCGGGTTCGAACCACGAACCTTCCGGCCAGCAGATTCGCGCACTAACCGCTTAAGCCATTGAAAGCATACCTATTTGCTTTTTTCATCTATATGGATTAGGGGAACTAGGTACCTAAAGAGCCCAGATCTCATGTCTTCCGAGAGAGTAGGCCTCTATGGGTAAGATTTCAGTGAGTGCCGAAACGGCTCCGCACTTCACGTTTGAACCACGAATCGCCCGTAACGATCGAACAACGGTAATGACCGCTTCACCGTTGAAACAGGCTTATCAGCAAACAGTGCGAACCCGACAGATTTACACAGTGTACAATGGTGCGAAAGTATGGCATGTGTGTGACCTTGACCACGGTTTGGTACAAAAAAGCTTCGACATGACGATTTGTGGGGAACATTTGTCGATGGTGACACGACCTCGATCAGAAGCTTCAGCAATACGCAGTAATTCACGTCAAACAGTATGAAAGAAAAGTTCAACGAGCTAGTATTACGTTGTCTTTCCGGGGAGTTCCGGTTCCAAAAATTGTAAAGTGAATAAAGAAGTTGACAGTCCTTGCTGCGACATGATCAAGATGTGAACCAACCAGCGAAACTGATGGGTAGATATTAAATGTTGGAGTTCCGGTGTCTTCCTGGTTCGGAATACACTACGTCGCACTTCTGCCTTGATTATGTGTTGTTCCCATTGTTTAGTAAGCAGCGACGATTCGGCGAAGGTAACCGGTGAAAACCTTCCCAACGATGTGACCAGCTACCATGCCACTGAAGTGATACTGGTTCGACTGATGCACAGTGGACCTGTTCTTTAACGTAAAGAGTGATATCCGGTAGTTGTCGGAGATATCAGAGAACGAGGCCCTTGCTTTGAAATACAAGACACCTATTCAGACTCGACGTCCACTATGGCTGGCGAGATGGCTCAAGTGGCTAGAGCGCGAAGTTACTGTCCGGAAGATCCCTGGTACGAACCTGACCTATGCCTCTCGACTTCCCCTGTCTAGCCATGGGCGACCTGGCAGTATCCCATCCCTCGTGCTTCCTTCGGGTGGCATGGCAAGTAGGCACCCGAAGGGGGTTACAGCTATTTTATGGCTCACGTATGGCTTCCTGGGCAGATACAGTAGATCACCGAGTGAAGCCGTCCACCAGCAATAATCAGCCAGGAGACGGCTGAGGATCATGCCTTTGAGGATAGCCTACACGTAGATGACCTGGTTCTCTGGAGAAGTGAGCGGAATATACTGTATTGGGCGAAGATCGACGAAGATTAGGCCATCCTTGTGGTCCAGATAGAAGACCCTGCTACCGAAGAAAAACTACGCTGAAAACCGTCATAATAGCTACATTCCATTTGAATCTCATCAAGGACGAGACTGAAAAGGAACGGAGAATATGGGCTTCTCTGACAGACAGTACTGGTTATTTTGAAAGGTGATGAAAACTGAGTACAAACCCAAACGCTATTCGATGTGCTTTCACAGATAGCACCCAGGAGGCTAACAACTTTATCGATAACCCTTTTCGCACAAGGTAGTCTAATAGAGCGCACCGACTCACGACTAGAAGCTAATCCTAGAACAGAAAGTGGTGACTAGTGGCAGTCGGTAGATTCAATTAATAGTTATCTCAGTGTCAACATCTGGTCGATGCAGTCACGATAATTGCAAAAACCGTCTTGCTCTTCACAGAACATCATTTCGCCATTGGATGTCAGTCTACGGAAGATGATCCCTGCCGCGGCCTGCAACAAAGTTGGCATCACACTGAATTCTCGATAGCTCAGGGAACTTATTCCCAGGCTTTTTAAGACAATTCATCTGGTCAATGGAGCAAAAACACACTCTTGTGAACACATATGTAAACGCTTCACATAAACAGCTGGATAAAGCGCCACTGACCATTCTTGAATGCTTTCCACAGTGGTTGACTCCCATCAGCAGATTTGCTTTTCCTCGTGAAGTGATGTTTTTCTTCGGATGTTGTGGTGTGTCGCAAGACGAACAAGGATTTGTGTCGAAAAATTCTGGTAGTCAGCACAGTGGTAGCAGGACGGCTTAACTGGGACCCAAAGTTATCTACCTCACCGTATATTAAGCGCCGGATATTCAACGAAAGACGATTTAAGGATGCCGAGACAACAATCACCAAAGTCGCACCCATGCCATGCTACAGGCAGCATATTATGCTACGACTAATCGCAGATGATACCTCGAAAAGCGGTGATACAGAAGCATAAACGGGAATGACTCCAAAACCAAGTAAATTCAGACGTCAAAATCGAAAAAGCAGAACGTACTCGGCTAGAGGTTTCCGTACTTAACTTGATATGCTCGTCCGATTTACCGTCCATCAACTTCGCGTCCTCGATACGGGTGTCAGAGTCGTACACACCGTTGGTTTCACACTTGATTTGATTACGGTGCTGTGGCATGCCATTTTGTTCCTTATCTCGGAGACGATTTAGCGATAGATCGTGCTCGGTTGATTCCACAGGGGAATATTCATCTTCCTCTTTCTCACCACTATCGACACATAGAAGAGGATGAAGGGACTCGATTGTTCGAAGATTCTGAAAAACCGGAGGTGTCGGTCGTCGATGTGACTTTTTGGGCCCAGTTTTACCGTTGACCAGCTGCTTGGAACAGAAACCTGGGCTCCAACTGACAGGACGGTGAGTGTAGATACGGTTGTTTGGTGAGGGGGACGCTGACCAATCATCTGAACCGAAAATGGGAGGAGAACGGAATGTTGCGAATCAGCCGTGTTGATGTATTAAATACAAAGATGTGTGAAGGTAGAAAATACGTCGTCATCTATCCCGAAAGCGTGGAAGATAATAAACTAATAAACAAGAAACCAACAATCACCATACTTCGACGGACAGTACACCAAGAACAGGACATGACAACGTACTAAATGATAGTTCCGCTTGAGTACCAACAATATCCCCATTCTCTCTCAGCTCCTGCTCTTCATCCAACTCAGCTTCGCGCAGGACTGGTAACACAGAAGTACATGACTTGGTTGGAGCAGCACGTTTGGGGACAAGCTCAGCCGAAAGCTCTCGCTCATCGATTTCGGCCAAATTGGAGAAGGCAGTGGACTTTCGGAAGCCAGATTCAATCACCACCAAATCAGGGTCCTCGTCTTCCGTCGTTGTTGTGGAAGCACAACCGATAACGACTGCTTCATCTTCGGAACTGTTGGATTGCAGTTCATCAAATATCTGCAATCAGATGGGTGATAAGAGGCGAAAAGAATGTATGAGAACGGCATTCTCTGCGATCAGGAATGACTGCATCAGGTCACGAATAGAAGGTTAACATTTGGTGAACGTAAAAAGATAGCGAAATTGGTCTATTTTACCACCGATACCTGTGTACGGATGGGTACTACTGATGAGGCATGCCAATAATGTTTTCTCATAAGTCCGCTTCGCGTCTACGGAATTTGTGGAATTGCTTTGTAGCATTCGTTTGCACTTGAGTGAAAATTCAGGAAGACGCGTTCAAGAAGATGACGGATATTCAGTTTTTATAAACAAAGTGCATATGAGAGTTTTGCTTACCTGTCCAATAGTCTGTAACCGTTTAGTTGGGGTTTTCTAATGAATAACTCCGCAGCGGAAGCCTTCTTCCTTTCACCGGTAATGGACAACTGGTGAGGGGTAAACCGTGTCCCAGTAAATTCTATCAGCGGAAGAGTTGATCTGGTACAGTGTAAACTCCAGTCACAAATACATGGTGAGTGGCAGACTGTTCACAGCAAGTGCATCGGACCGCAGTTGCCCCGAGAAAAATGTATACGGATAGCCACACAAAACTGTGACACAATCTACTGCTGATATAGTAAATATTCAGTTAGTCCATCCTAATTTTTGGATTGTTTACATCATCAGTCGATTCACACATGAAGCAGCATTCCATTCAGGCAAGAACCCACTGAACGCGTCCCACCACGTTTTCAGCTGAGGTTTAACTTCCAAGGAAACACTGGGGAAAGCGGACTGCAAACGTTTTTATGCCCTACGACCGTAACGAGTGATCTCTGAGAAATTCAAATTCTAGGCACCACTGTCAGAACTCAACTATCATACACAAATTCCATCGATATTATGTACAGACGTCATTGTTCTCTCTCTCCCTGGTATGATTACTCCAGCAAATAGACCAGAAATATACCGGACTGTGATTAAAAAAAGGAGTTAATTCATTTGCGAAATAAGATGAAGATCTGCCAGTTAGCAGTCTATTTAAAAGGACGACCTTGAGATCATGACGACACAGTCGGATAAGAGAATAATTGGACTGTCACAGCATGAATAGTTTGGGAAAAGAAGCGACATGTCAAACATAGGACGGCGGATTCAAGCATGGCAGCCTCCGACGTTGATCAGTCAAACATATCCGCATGGATCACCACGTCCATATATCAAGGATTTTCTAGAGAGGAAAATGTCGGTAGCTCAGATAGCGTAGATGGTGGTCGTTGGCTTGTTCGCCTAGCTGGGCAATTTGATTGTAAATAGTTCATCACCGATTGAGGTGACATCATCAGTACGTTATTGGGGAGCGTAGTGCACAACCACTAGCCCACCGCTACGCACTACTACACTCCCCAATAACGCACTGATGATGTCACCTCAATTGATGATCAAAACGCTTGCAATCAATCAGCGAACAAGCCAACAACCACCATATATCAAGGGTGTTTGGCTGAAATTTCAGTGACATAGTAAGGACGCGCTGGTTCAACTTAGAGCTTCACTCCACCTCGCCTGACTCTCACGAGACGAGTCACTTCAATGATTGTACCGGATCGCAGGCATTCACGCTTGTTGGACCAAGAGGTTAATTTAACTATTCTATGGATTCACTGACGACATCAATATCGTACTTCGAGTAAAAAGTGTCCCGGAAAAAAACACCCACGAGAATTCCCTTAGCTTGCTTTACGAGAAAATAGTGATGCATATAAACGTGTTTGATATAATACCGCGATATACTAAGAAAAATAATGGTTTAACTGTGGCATCCTAATGGCACGTAACTGTCGTACAACTCGAGGAAGCCATGGTTGGCCGAGATACGGTCAGGGTGGCAGACAGAAACAGTTGAAAAGACAGGGTTGGGCTCGAATCACAGACATTCTGATCAATAACTTCGCGTCCTAACACACGAACTGTCACGAACTCAGTGAAACATAGACCAGTGGAGATCCAAGATCTGTCCCTCGCAAACAGTTTTTTCAGCTCCAAAAATAAATTCCCATTGTAATAGGAAAGCTATCCCCACCCCACAAATGACTTCACAGTGCACCAGAAACCTTCTTACTGAAAAGTATCATTGCCTTTCCTGACTTAACCAATGCGTCCAAAGAAAAACTTCAAGCAGTTGATCTTGTCAGCGACTAATATTCTATGAAAAATCAGGCAGTCAGGCTACCAAACCAAATTGCCAATTAGCAAGTTTCAGCGTTAGAGCAAACTCTTAAAGATCTCCGGACTTGAGCTCGATACGACGTAGGACAAAAAAACGCAATATTGCCTCCGCAACTAATAATTCCGACTTTTTGAATTGCGAACCAAGTTAGGGTGGCAACTTGTCAGTATACAGGATTTGTTAAAATGCCACGATCTACGCGGAAGATGTTGTGTACTTTCACGTTGCATTCGACACCAGCGTAACAAAAAGCAGCTCCGTGACCACCGGGTGGAATTCCTCCGCTGTAGTTCGTTAAAGTTGCGTGTTGTTTCACATGGCACCACAGTGCGTGGTTAGGCCAGCCAATTTTGGCTGGTACAAAAAAGTTCGGCTTTAGAGTAGTTAGACTAGATTCAGCGTATAATTAAAGCATAAAATACCATCAAAATAAGCCAATCAGAACTGCTGGTTAGAAAGCCACTGGCGCTTTGTGTCACAATGACAACAGCGCTGAAAATGATGAGTTTCCAGTTTGATCAAGAATACGCCTTAGAAAGTAGTTCCTCAAAGACGGGAGATCGACTATGGGTTAAAAAAAAATCAAGCGTAACGATTGCTGACCGGAGGCATGTGAGTGGAGATGAGATTCTGATAATGAACATCAGTGCACAAAATCAGAAAGTGTCCCGAATTGCGGTCGAAGAAGAAGAGGAGAGAGGGAGAAGAACAAAGGACAGGTGAATCGGAACAACAAAACCTCTCACCTCTAAAATCTTGGCACGTGTGGGAACAATATTTTTCACTGGTTTCTCCGACGAACTCGCTGTGTGGGAATCGAAAAGTGCTTTATCGGAATCTGGTTCTTGTGGTGTGGGTGAGGTTGGATTGGCATCAATAGGAGGCGTACATGAGATTTCAGGAATACATATGGCTTCCTTGCCAACTTCTTCGTCGTTCAGTTGGATGATGTCGTTACAAGCCTGTTCGAACAAAGTGCTATTCTCCTGGAAACAAAAAATAGTTTGATCCAGTATAAGGTCATGTAGAAAAGAAAAGACATCGATAACAGGTAATCCTGTGTGTGTGTGTGTGTGTGTGAGGAAAACAATCCCTGAAGCGGGACAGATGTAAGAATAGTGTGCCCGACTGCGAGCTTGCTCGCGTATGGTTCGTTCGATAGTATGAAATTGTCAGAACTTCAAGTCTACAAAGAAAGAAAGCGAGTGCACGATCGACTGATCATTTCATATAGCCTGGATCTTCAATTTTGAGAGACGATGAGTAGTGACTGTCGGTGAGCAGAAGTTTCAACTGGTATCATGGGATGCGAGAAACATTTACACTTCACATTCTCAGGTAACGATTTTTTGTGATTAGCTAATGACAACCAGCAAGAACAATTAATCTGAGGAGATTCAATTAAGGCGACTGATGAAGACAATGAAGCCTAAATTTAAGCCCTAACCAGAGAAAATCCGTCGCGAGTGCTTCCAGGTGTGGGAGCACAGAGCACACCGTTTGGAACCCATTTCCAACAGAAGTGAAACAGTGCTGAGCTTCAAGATAAGTAGAATGTGACTAGTAGTGGAGTTGCAGTCAAGCACATCGTTGACCCTAGTTGGGGTCACCAGATTTTTACTGTACGATGCGTGATTGTGGTTCGCTTGCATTTCACATCCCAACCAGAACAGATCGAAAGGCGTGAAGTGCAGCAAATTTCATACACCTATACTGAGAGTATTGCCCATGAAAGGAATAAGGTCACTAAAAGTGCTCACAGAAAGTGGCCTCCTGTGAGAGGATAGAGAGCAGCATAGGTTCAAAACCATTCACTCAGTGTTTGAAAAAATCGTTCGGCTGTAGCACCCTTTCGGTACCTAACTGCCGTGCCACCCGAAGGTTGCCCAAGCCTAGACAGGGGAAGTCGAGAGGCAGAGGACGGGTTCGAACCACGAACCTTCCGGTCAGTAAATACGCGCTCTAACCACTTCGGCCATCTCGCCCCCATTCAGGGTTCACAAACGGTACTACAGACCTAAAACGAATACGAAACGGTTCAAAGGTAATCCGTGGCCCGGAAATTTCAAACACATCCACACCATCTGTGTAATGCTGGAAGACACTGCGTTAGGCAGCACAACTTACCATATCTTCATTGATATGCAGGGCAAAGCTGATCTCAGCGAGTCGAGCGTCTAGCACCCAGTTGGGGTGGTTACTAGGTTCAACAAATTCGTCCTCGGCAAAACCGAACTGGTCCATGAACGTAGAGGTGAGTGGCCTTGTGCAGTAGTTTGCATATGCCTGAAAATAAGTCGTCGGTACAGAATGAAGTGGAGTGAATGCGATAAACCCAGTAAGGAACATCTTGCAGTCAAAGACATTTTTTAAACTCCCTGTGGGTTCACCATCAAAACGGGTAAAGACATGCTGGTAATCTGGGTCAAAATATCCTTCCCAAAGGAACAACGAGCTGCTAAGTCACAGATGTTTTCCACCCAAATAAGTGTCTGCTACTGATTGTGAACCGAGAATTTGTGGGCGAACGAGTACAAGTTGCCAACGCGCTCGAAGCAATGAAGCTGGACAAAAAACGAAGATGGATTACCGACTAAGACAAGCCACGCTTGAAAAAGATTTAGTTTACATCAAACCAGTGTTGCTGAGTGGTTAGTTCAGAACCTGTTACCATGACCAATCACGGCCTGAACGAAAACGCGACATCTGCATTTGAATGCGTGGTTTGCAGAACAGAACTATCACGTGACGTTAGTTTCCAGGATTTTCTACAACTTGAGACTTGGGAGAGAAGGCAAACGTCCTCGGTACTACGCACCGCCCCAGATTTGAAAACCTGCTTGCTGGGATAACAGCAACGTGATCACACCATCCGATGCGCAAACGATGTTTGTAAAAGTTAAGAACGACCGTATTTGTAATCACATCTCTCGTTGTTGTAGACTATTCGGGATGGGGTCCCGTGACCCCGTCTGTGCTTGGCTGGAGGCGTTGCAAGAAATGGCGGCTAATCGATGTCACTGGCGTCCTTGCTGTCAGTTTCTTTCTAGATTGTCT